AGTCATCAAAATATGTAGTGACTTTCACTCTTACAGTTGTTAGAGAAGAGCAGTCACTGTCAAACTTCAGGATGGCTTAAACTATTCATTTGCATCAGGTGAGAAGTAGGCACAGGCAGTAACTGCAGCTCAGCTATTAGTTACATACTGTACATACATAGGAAGTGTCCGTTGCACATGCATCTATAGCACATTAGCAGTTCATGTTTTTAATCTTGTAGTGCGGAGGGGATAAAAGGAAATTAATAAATCAAAAGTTGAACTAAAAATAAGATTTTTTTAATCTTGGGGAAATCTTAATGTTACTACTTCTGTCTTGAGACTCTTCAACTCATTTTTGTTTTGCTCCTTTGAGCGACTCTCACTCATGACTTCTGCTCTCTTGAGGTTAGCAACCTTGTTTAGGATATACTAAAGATACCTGAGAGCATTTAAATAATTTATTGAAGATTTAAAATACATTTTAAATTTTTCATCCCTTTTAGTAAGCCTTAGGTATGTAAATGTGGCCTAAAACTCAAAGTACTGCATAAGCAATAATTAATTTAAAACAAAAACTAGATATGCATTTGTTAGTAGTATTTGTTTCCTGCAAATGTATTTGCTGTTTAAATTTATTTCACTTCAAAATGATAAAATAGAATAAAATCTGTGTACATTTTATGCTATGCACTGTTAATAAATTATTTTCATCTACTAAAGTGTAACCCATTTTTGGGATGTAAGGAGTATATGTCACAAGGTATTTGCAAAATTTCACTTCTTCTGTTTTAATGGAACATAAAGCATATAAGAAAAGGTAATATCGTTTATTAGACCAAGAGATATCACTGGAAAATGCATAAAGGCTCTAGGGCACGCACATATTTTCAGGTGTCTTCCCTATTTGTCAAGGGCCTGAAAACAGTTCTACATACTTGAAGAATATACAATGTTTCTTTATACATGAAAGCTTGATTTTTGATTTTTTTTGTTTTCCAGCTATGTGTGTTGACCTAATAAAATAAATTAACAAACATTGCTCTAAAGGCTTAAACACCCTTACATCATCAACTGGGAGACAACTACCAGTATGGTTGCTGTGGGAAGAGGCATATATCCTCTGAGTGTCAGTTGGTTAGCTGGTGGTAGGTCATTTTATTTGAGGTGCCCAATGAAGCTGTGTAGGGCAAGGGAAGAGTTGCCATAGGATCTGTGTAGAGTCAGAAGAAAGAGATACAGCCCTCCACACAGCACTGAAGGTCACTTTAGGTCTGATTTGCTGCTGGATTATATTGGGAGCCTGGTGACTGTGCTGTTAATTTAGGTTATCTGAAGTTACATGCTCAAACTCTGTCCTGGGGTGCCCAATAAGAGTAAATATGTCTTCGGAGGTACTTAACCTTAGTTCTTTTGAAGAGTGCCTCACAGACTTCCTTAGAGCAGAATAAGTCATCTATGAAACTGGCACAAACACGGCACTCGAGTTAAGAGAATATAACTTGTTTATGTCTTTTGGCAAAAAAAAAAAAAAAACTACATGATGTTATGAAGAATCTTTAATACATGTGGTTGCAGGCAATGATGACGATGATTTTTTCAATGAGTTTTGTAGCAGAGTAGTTATCTTCCATGAAGTGGGCTTAACATACTTGCAGATATTTTTTCCATACCCTTTGTAAACGTTGTGAATAACGTTTTGCTTTTATTGCAGAATGTGGTTTTAGGATACTTGCACTTGCTGTGTATCACTTAGGATTATAGGCAAACTGCCAAAGAACAGCATGGCATTTATAGTTTGACACCTATTTTTCTGGGTTAATTCTTCTTAGAGTTAGGTTTAAGCCTTTACTAGCCTGTATGTCTCAATGAATGGACATACCTTGCATGCCTACAAATGGAACAGCAGCTTGTACTGTAGTGCCTATGGCGGATATATAAATTTTAAAGACTAATAGAAATTACGTTACTGCACATATTTTGATTTTTCTTCTAGGTAAGGGAACGACTGAGGGTTTCTTTAGAAAGAGTCTCTGCACTGGAAGAAGAACTAGCTGCTGCTAACCAGGAGGTAACATAAAACACTTTCTCCCCCTTTGAGATGCAATTTCTCTAACATTGTCCCATGTGTTCCCCATCACTTTTCTTTAAATCGTCACCAAAAAAACCCTGTAAATTATATTCTGAGTAAGCTGCTGAACAAGGCTTGTTTAAGGTGGTTGTCAGAGTAGTATAACTTTCTGGTTCCTGATTTATTCCATTCTACAGGGCATACAAACCAAAACCCAAGGACTAGTGACAGTTCCCCCATTTCTATATTGGACATGAAAAAGCAATGAAACAACAAATGTGTTACACACTGTAAGAAATCAGAGAACTTGAGATTTCATATAACTGTAAAATGAGATAAAATATGGTATATATATATATGTTGACAATGACATTTTAAAACTTAGTGTAGGAGAAAGATTATGTCTGACTTTGAAATTCAGGTTTGTCTCTTCCCGTTTAACTGCAGTGTGTCATGATAAACTGTGGTAGCAGATAACTCTTTTGAACTTAGAAGAGAAATTTCTTTTCCTACAAGGGAGTTTGCAATCTCTTCTCATTGTCTCATGTGTTTGAATGGAGGCACAATGACACACCATTGTATTATAGCCTAAGTATGCACATATGTGGAAGGGAATTTTATACCCTAGAGAAGGCGAGTCTTAGTTCTGGTAATATATCTGATGATGGAGCTTGCTCACTTTACCACTCTCATCATGCTGTGAAACTTTACCATTTGGAGAATGCTCTCTGATGTGTGCTTCTTACACTTCTTAAAAGAAAAAGTTAGAAAAGCATGAGAACTACATGAAAGCTATTTTGGGTTATGTACGTTTACTGGTGTCATTTTATCCAGCCTTAAGGCATAAACTGAAAATCACAGGCAACCTTAAAGTACTACCAAGTAGTCCTGGTAAAATGGAAACAACTATAATTGAACAGTATGTATGATAACGTAAAACAGATACTTGTCATGTATTTTTCTCTGATATTAAAGAAGAAATACTAAAGCAACTAAAAGCAACTTCTTAAAAATAGAATCTGCAAGTATGATACTAGTACCTCTTTTTTTCTAAACTATGGATTAGGTGTGAATCATCCCTTCCTTCTGTGAAGCAACTGCATCTTATCACCCCCAAAATAATAAAAAATCCTATTTAGTACTCTATTTCGTAATATGTGGGCTTAAATGCTGTAGTTACATTAAATCAAATAATCTGTTATTTGCACTAATACTTGTTAAATGAAAAAGCAGTAGGCTAACCGAGGTGCTTTCCATTCACCTGGTCTTTCCCGTGCATCGTCTAATAAATCCCAATATTCTGTTGCCAATATTCTTCACTGGAGATGGGACCAGGTCAGTAGAGCATTGTCTTGTTATTTGAAAGAAAAATAGTTATATCCATTAGTCCTTAGCACTAGTTAAGATAAATAGAATTATACTACAATACTGTACATCAGATTTCTGATGTGATTTGATTTTCTTAAAAACATATGCAGTGCTTCTTTGCTGTCTGCCTCTTTACTTTTCTGTTATTAAGCATAAATTGAATTAATAGGTATAGACTAGAGAACCAGGTGCAAATTGTGAGATCTTTCTCAATGTAGCCAGTTATGTACTTAATCATATTTCTGCAAGAGAATTCCAGATACACAAGGGCTTTCTACTGACAGTGTTGCTCAACTTTGCTCCAAACCTGTTTGGATAATTAGGATCTCTATTGGGTGAAATATGGGAACATTTCTATTGATGCCTTATTAATACCTTTGCTAGTAAACAGAGATATCTCTTATGGTTGAGGAGGAGATGAATATAAAAGAAGAACTGATAATTCCATCTAAGAAACTCTCTACATCCTTTTTTTCTGCACCAAGATCCTTCTAAGAAGGAAATATCAGTAACTTTGTATTGATGGTGATAAGCACAAACATGCATAATTAAATGAGTTTTAAATAGGATTTTCTTAGCCTATCTTGTCCCAAATCCTTAGAAAAATATGAAAAAAGTATTTACATGATACTAAAAGCATTTATGACATTTATTGAACAAAACATGACATGATCATTAACACAATGTGAACAATGGTATCTGAGTTTTCTGTGAGGATCTTTTAAAGCTAAAAACTGGAAATCCAATTCAGTAATAATAAGAAAGAGTTTGGTAAGAAGAGAAACAGAAGAGAATTAGTGGATTATATTCGAACAATAAATGCATTTGAACAAGAGTTCAGACAATGTTCACACAATTAGTCAGTTAAGACAGACAAAATGAATTGGACAGCTGCAACATTTAAATCTGGTTTTACTCTAGATTCCCCAGTCAATGGTCACTGGGAGGTTTTACAGACTGATTGTACTACATATGAAGAGAAATGGGTACCAAAAAGGCTACTGAATGCAGGCTTTGGAGTTATTTCTGTATTCCCGTCACTCTGTGCCTGTTCGCCCATGAGAATTCATATTTTCTTTCACATCCATTTTCTTACACTGATTCTAACAGTATGCCACATATTCGCAATTATATCTAAACATAAAATGATGACAGTAAATTGGTCCCCTGATTAAGCAAGTACATGATGAGGCCTATAACAAATACCAGAGTCAGGGATGAAAGCTCAGTAGAGATGTGATGGTTAAGGTAGCACATTTCTCTGAATTTTACTGTCATACTGAAGGTAAAGTCTTGGTTTTAAGATGTTTAAGACCAGACTGAAGAAATGATACTAATTCAGTACATCTGCTTCTTATTAAAACACATTTACAAACAATAGACATTACACTTGATGTTACAGAGCATGGAATTCTGTTCAAAAGTAGGCACTTAAATGCGGGTGTCTACATGTGAGCCAGATGTCAAAAAATCTGTTGTAGTCTGTGGAGTTCTAGTTAATCCAGTCTGCAATATAACCTGGCAGTTAATCTGCCAGGGCTGCCAGATATGATGCAAAATTTACATCTGTCTGGAGCAAGAGATTGGGAAGGAATATCCCGGTCAGGAACACGACACTGGGTGCTCCTGTGTTAGGCAAGTCACTCACAACAGATATAGACACCGAATGCACAGAGGGCTAAATTTAGGTGTCCTAATCAGACAGAAGAAGCAATCATCCAGTTCTAGCGATACCAGGCAGTCAGCTTCTAGTCATGGGGGGAGATGCAAAGTGGGCTTTCTATAATTAAATCATATCTATAATTAAAGAGATGATTGACATTTATTTAAGTGTATGCTGTATTGTGGGAAAATGTTTTTGACTTTGTATTTTATATTGTTGCAATTAATGGCAGTAGAAGGCACCTTAAAACATCTGGATGTTTGGAAGAAGCCAGAGTTAGCAGTTAGATGCAGTACCTCTATGGAATTCCCTAAAATAAAGGTCCTGTGGGTAAAATAATGAGTTCAGAGAGCCCCTTAAAAATGAAGTCCTAGTGACAGGTTAGAAGACTTCTTTCTTAACTGGCTATAAACAATGCTAAGAAACTGGGTAGAGTTACACACCAGCTTTCTTTAATATTAGAAAAATGATATTATTTTTGCTGTAAGGAGTGGTTAAGAAACTCCAGTAGTTTTGAAAGGGCAAAAATATGTAGAATATAGCATGGTGATACCGTAGCACATGGTGGAATTTTAAATCCATTGCTGTTGCAATGTACTATCCTAAATGACAAGTGTTATGATTTCCATCAACAGATCTCACTGTTCCCCAGAACTTGCTCCCAAAAACAAATCCCCAAATGTGATCTTTAGAGCTTTTTCCCAATGTTTGCACTTCAAATAAAGCATTATGCATAGTTAATACTATATTGAGTCTAAGCCATTTTTCAGAGTATTCTGTTTTGTACACAAATTTCCTCCCATCCTCCTTAATCATATTATCCAGCCCTTGCAAAAATCTTCCTGTGTTATTAAGATTCATATGATAAGTGGCATTCCAAGACCCTCTTTTTATTTCTGGTTACATACTGACTCTTCCATGTTTCCTCATTAGTGGAAACTGTGGCATGGAAAGCAATCATATAATTACATTTATTATTGCAAAGATATACTTTAGGAACTCTGAAAATACTGGACTGTGTGGAATATGAAATTAGAGAAATTACTGGTTTTAGTTTATATATCACTCTACTGCTGCACTCTTCAGCAATTATTGAAAATGCCAATGCTGTTTGCAAATGCTAAAAAACACAATATTATCTATGTCAATTAAGGCATAGATTATATTTTAAACACTCAAGCAAACTTTGAAAACCTAATTGTTGTAATTTCCACCTGCCTCTACAGATTTTAGACAGATTTTAGTTTTGAGGATAAATATAACTTGTGGTGCTATGAGTGAGGTTGTGGGAAATTTGGCAGAAATTTTTCTGCTTCGTATAATTGCTTGTATTCTTTTCTTTGGACAGTGGGTTTCTTCCTAACTGATGGCGAGTTAGTTATTCATTAGAGTATCCCATACCTAGTTTTTGTATAGAATCCATAAAATCATCCATGAATGATGTACATCATTTAGAGAAAAGATGATTTAGTGTTTATGGTGCTTTATTTCCAATACCAGAAACTTCAGAAGAAGTAGCCACTTGATCACCAGAGAACTTGCATGTACCATGCTGATTGCTTTACTTGTAGAAAGGTCAAGCCAAGAAACCAGTAAATAACAGAGATACATTTAGCAGTTGAAAAGAATTTTGATTCTGGCCATGAAGGTTGTCATAGACGTTATTGCAGTATCATTACTGCTTCTGAAGTGCTCCATAAAATTCAATTTGTTGTAAACTTAATTCAAAATGAAACTTTATTCACCTATGAAGTGCTCATTTTACCCAGAGCTGCTGCATGTGAAAGTACACTTTCAAGCTAGCTGCTATAATTTCAGCTCAGCTATTACTTTATAAGCTATTATTTGCAGTCATTTCTTGATGGCTTTCCTTTTTGTACTTAAATACAGCCTAAAAGTGTTGGGGCGGGGCGGGGGGGGGAATGTTACTGAAGTGTTACTGAAGTAACAGTTTTCTGAGAAAAATAGC